ATTTTGTAGGGAAAGCTTCAAGCTTTCACGAAGGGTAGTCGAAAATTTTCTTTAATTTTTTTTTGGCACGTGAGAGACCCCCAAAGTGAAAAGAAAATTTTTCATCTTTTTCAGCTCGTAGTTTTGTAAATGTAAAAATTACCAAACTCACAGAAACTCAAAAAATATAGTAACCTTTCGAAAGTAGCGATTTCAAGCTTTAAAACGCCTTTTTTAAAATTTAAATTTCGTTCATTTTTGACGAAGAAACTTTTTCTCCGACCCAATACATTTACCTTTCATTGAAATGAACGATTACATTAAGTCGTGTTAAGAAACAATTCCAGCGATTATGCTTAAGCAGTTCGTTTAATCTTAATCACGATTGCCTCAATTAACATCCAACGATAAATTGCCCTCGCGATTTCGTCACTGAGGATAGGAGGCTCCCCACGGAGATTTCCCATGACGCGCGTGCAGCTGTCGGAAGAGATTAAGAGTCATTGGGAGACCCGGGCAACGACGCGACGCGACGCGCGATTATCGCAGGAAATGTCGAAATGGCTCACTCGCACGCGCGCGTGCTCGTGCCACCTTTCTCTCTTTCGACGGTTCGTCGATGCGCGATCCTAATTCCATCGTGTGTGAATGTAAGAAGCACCTCGTCCGCGCCGATCGACGAGCGTGATCTCGGTCACGCAGCTCACCGTCGCGACCGATAGCCGGGGAACGCGAACGGGGGAAATTGCCCGCCGTCTGTGCACGTACCGAGGTACCGAGGCACCGTCCGTTACTACTGCATCCAGTGGTGACGGATTACCGCACGGACACGTAACTCGAGCCATTTGAGTCGCGTTCAAGCGTAAGGAGGTCATCCGAAACTCTGCATTATTAACTGCTAACTGTCGATTGCTCGCAAATCAACTATCCATTTTGTATCGTCGCTGGAGTGTGTACGTAAACTTTCACAGTAAAGCCATCATGATGAAACTTTTCCGAATAGATTGAAATGCGCTCGTGTGGATTAAAAGCAGTTCTCCCCCTTCTTTTTTTCTTAGCGATACAACTTTCATCGTTTTCAAATGCGATTGTTTTATGCTGTTGTTTTAAATTCCGATTTTATTCCTGCACTACACTAAAACTCTTTCTCGCTTTCGCCAAATATTAAATATTTACCTATCTCATTTTAAGTTCCAAAAGTGCACATTTGTTCAGCTACAGGAAAAAACAGAGAGAATCGTAGTTTAAATAAAGTCTCCTCTGTAATTCATTATTCGCGCGTTTGGTACATTTAATTAGAAAAGCTTATCATGAAACTATGAATATTCTGTACTATTATATATAATGTTCTTATTAAGATTGTATTTGAGATTATTATCGAGATAGTACTCCACATATGGCTATTGTTTTATTTACATCAAAATATTTATGAAAAGTTTATGAAGTTAAAAATAATGTAAAATTAAAAATTATAAAGGTTTTGAAAAAAATATGTATGTAACTGATAAATATTAGATCGATGTAAAATATATTTGTCATTTTTTTCTCCAAGTATATATATTTAATAAATTCGAAAATTGAAGCTTTTTAAAAAGAGGATTGAAAAAATCTTAAATAAAAATGAAATGTTCATCAAAGTTTGTGGCAATAATTCTGCTTCGATTTTACTGAAATTTTGTTTTCAATTTTGATTGACGTGGCAATATCTAATATTAATACTCTAATGTTATTCGTTAGTCTAATATTATTTTAATGTTAGCTTGAGATACATCTTGGCACGTGTCGATTTGTGTCTGAATCATCGCCACTGTTTACGTCAGTAGGTATATGAATGGAACTGTAATAAGGAAATTATAATAAGAGAGAGGGAAACTTTAATAAGAGAGGAAAGCGCCTGCGAAAAAATCGACGTCATCTATGCATGCAGTTGTTCACCGTTGCCTACTTCCAGGCGCTGTTATTATATTGTAACAATTGAAACAAGAGAAGTGAAGAAATATTTTTAAAACCAATTAACATTAGGTATATTACTGGGATTTAAATTATTTATTGTATAATTTTTTGTGAAATAAGCAATTGTATAATTTCTTTATTTTGTTATTCGAACAAATTACGAGGTTTTGTTAATTAAAAAGAAATTCGAAGATAGATTGCGATAAATTTGGTGTATGAAATGTAAACAGTTGTAGGAAGATACATATAAGTTTGCAGTTCAGGCTCAAAGAGGGATTAAAAATTCCGATATTGCGTATAAGCGAGTAAATATTTCAGCACGCGGTTATGTGGTTTCATCGAAAGTCCGGTCGATTGGCTGGGTTACGAATTTATTATTTATATCTTCGATAGCCGAAAACTCGCAGTATAGTGGCTTATTAATTGTCCTTCTCTCGATTCATACCGCGATTTTTATAATTAACATAATGCATTATTAACATAATGCTATGCATTTTTTTATCGCGCAATCATGAAGTATTTCCTCAACACATTTCCTCAAATGTATACTTCAGTGTCATCTTTCAGCCCCCATCACGGAAAATCGCGAATATAACTCACGACATCGCGAAGTGTTACGTAAATATTTGTTTTTTGGCGAAGTATATTGCCCGAGCGTGAAAGCAACGGGCGCGTAAACAAGGGCCATCGAAATTGTGCCAGAGCTATTTATACCTGTCCGCTCATATTTACCCGGACCGGTGAAAACGGTGCGCGTGTTAGGTCTCTTAATTAAATATTGTTCGACAATTTATTTTATTTCCCTGAATATCGGCACAGTAATATTAATTTCGCCCGCCTTCAGGCTGTTTCGACGGCTAATTATTGGTATAACGTCGTACGATTTAACGCAAACGTAATTTATGCTGCCTAATCGCCAGTAAAATCCAACTTTGCACAAATTGCGAAGCCCTTGGTCGGAGCAATTGAAATGTGTGTGTGCGGTCGGAACAATTAAAATGAATCACATCCGAAGGTACTGAGCACTATATTTTGTACATTATTATTTTGTCTCTGTATTCAGATATATATGCTGCGAAGTTCTGAATTTATATCTTCCGATACATAAAACGTTTTCTCTCGGTTTTGTTTAGTGTACACGTGCGCGCCCTTTGGCTCACATTACTTCCGAGTTTCTGCCGAGTTGCTAAATATTACAGCACTAAACGTAGAAACAACCGCAATTCTACAGAAACTTTCTTAAATCTTTAACAAAATTTGCTATCTCAAAGAATCCAATTTCATCGTTTAATTCATCGGTAGTGGATAATTCGATTATTCACTTAATGAATAATACTCCACTCGCTTGTGATATATTGCATTGTAGAATAATCTCTCTAAACCAATGATGTTCAAGTTGCGGTCTGCTTATGAATTATTTGCCAGCAAAAAATATAAAAACATGTTTTTTTTATTTTATGCAAACGAAATAAATAATTATGCGGTCCACAAAATTTTGCTTATTTCTAAAAATGGCTTTCTAAAAACAATCCTTAAAGAAGATTGAACATATAATTAATCTAAATGATTTTTTTATTAAGACCCAACAAACGTATTTTTTATTTTTTTGTTGTACAATAGCCTCCGTGAATAATTTTCTTAATTCACAGTAAAAAAAGATATGAATTTTTTTATTGAATCAGATTTGAAATAATTCACAGAATAAAATATTTAAGTCATATTTTATTGGATAAAAAATGCAAATATACTGAAAAAAGAATGTTATATCAACAGCATTATTTTAATTGAAAACAATTTTTGTTAATTTAATAACACTATTAATGAAACAAATACATTATGCTTTTGTTTTAAAACGTTATTTGTTTCATTAATATTGTTATTGAATTAATAAAATTGTTTTTAATTAAAATAACGCTGTTGATATATGTTCTGTTTTCTGTTCCTGCACTAGACTGTATACTAGAACTCTCTTTCTCGCTTTCGACAAATATCAAACATATACTTATTTCACTTCAATTTCCAAAAGTGTACACCGATTCAGCCACAGAAAACAGACCTATGATATCTTTTTTTTTTTTCAGTGTTAGTGTATATTGTTTCGAGAAAAGAATTTCTGATGTTTTATAGCGGTCATTAATTCGGAGCTCTTCAGTAACGAGTGAACCCGCTAATCCGTGTCGAATGTAATTGAATTAAAACGTCGGATGCAATTAGCGCGGGAAGAGTCGCAGCCTCCCACGTGCGCGCGAGTGCGCGCAGATGTTACTTTTCAAATTGAGCGGATCGAGTATGGCTACTGCCGCATGAAGTGCAATTGCATTTTCGTGATTTACGCGCACGACATAGACGACACTTGTTTTGTCCACAGCACGGATTGCGACAAATAACAAAGCTGCATGAGCATCCATTAGAGTGCTACAATGCATTACGATCATTAATTTTCCGACGATTAGTTCGATTTGATGTTCAGAATGTTTTATTTTCAACTGCGAGCGTCATGCTCTTGCCGAATTACTTTTTGCACCCACGCTTGTTTTTAATTTGATTTGGCAGTTTTCCTGCCGTACGCTTGGAATGGAATTTTTACTTAAGTCGAAAACACGTTTTTATAGAAGAGTGAATATTTTGGAAAAAAGTAATGCCGTTATATTAACGGTATATTTTTAAATTTTATAACAAGAGAAAAGAATTTCGAATTGTCATGTATTTCAGTGAAATTTTAAAACAAAATAAAAATTTGTTTTGCAAGCAGATGTGATGAATTAATACTATTTTAACATGTACATAAAACTGTGAAAAATTTCCTATACTTGATAAATTGCATGTTCATACATTGGGAATTAAAATGTCAAGCACGCAAGGTCCCTCATTAAATTCTGCGAAAGGTTAAAATACTTTAAGTACTCTGCGTGGAAAATAATTTTCCGGGTAGAAATTACTTTTCAAGCGTACTGCAGTTTACTTTTTCTTTCAATTTAATTATGACTTTAGTTTTTTAAGCTCCTGCGCACGTTGTAGATTGCATGTGTTTTCAACATCCTTGTTTTGGATTGTTTGTTGCATCCCAGGTCCAGGCGTTTCTCTCAGGATGTCACAACCTCGAAATCGACGGAAAACCTCTCAACGTCTTATGTCAGGTATGCAAAATACATTTGCACGTTATCATCTCATCACTTCTCTATTTTCTCTGGACTTCAACAGTAAGAACTAAGTATTATAAATAGATATTATTTCATTATTATTGTTAATGTTTAGAATATAGTATGATTGTGCATCCTTTAGAAAAATGCACGCAAGATTGTATATAAAAAGCATGTAAGAATGCCAAGATTTAGAAGTAGAATTTTTTTAAAAACGTCTTTTTTTTACTGACGGTAAATCTAGCCGTAAGATGATTGCGAAAAAAATTTATGTAATTACACGTTTCTTTTTTGATGTCTATTAAACAATTTCTATGTTTCTGAAAAGTACAAAACCTAAAACAATTCTAAAAGAAACTTAACAGAAATGTGACTTATAGCAATATGTCATTGTTATGACATAACGCAAGTTCGTTCACCGATTTTTTCATTCACCGATTGTTTCTTTTTTTTTGTTTCTTTCGCGTTTCACTGTGTCATATTATTCAGACCCATTCGCAGGAATTTCATTGGACTTTATCTTTGTCGGCCACGCGTTCGTAGACGACGCGACTTATGGAGACAACCTGCACAGTGCACGGTTCGTTGCATCGTGAAATTGCGTTTTGTTATGGCTACACGAGATTGCCTCCACTGAGCTGAGCGTTTTACAAATAGTGTCACGCCAAACTATTAACGTCTACCCGCGTACATCCCACAAGAGTAAGTCGACGAGTTCTCTTGACTCTATTTCCGAATGTACAAGCGTCTTGATTCCATTCCAGGGACGTAAACCGCAAACAAATACCTTTTCATTACCCGATATTTTCGCGCGTTTGTTTTCATTTTGTATCATTTTCATTTCACATTTTCAACTATTTTTTTCTTTTCTCTCTGTTCAAACGACTTTTTAGGCCAATCTCGCAAATTGACATTTTTAGAGTGGAATTTGCAGGGAATTTAAAATTAATTTTTTAAAAAGCGTCTGGAGTAGGGTACATCTCGACACATTCCGATCGTTTCATTCTATCTCCTCTGATCTACTTTTCAGCAGATTTCGTTTTACTTAATCAAATTTGTTGCGCTCGAGATATAAACGAGAGTAAAGCTAATTAGCAACTACATTTACTCTATTACAGGAGCAAGAGCCGTAGTGTGGATCATGGATTTACGGCACCCTTCGATTTGGACGCTCTGCGGAACAAGGTCGAAGGACGTTTTGAATCTGTGGATAAACTCTCGAGAGGTGAGTACACGTCATTACACTATTAAATAATTGAAATAATTAATCGCGTTGGATATTTTGCATAAAAATTCAAACTATATGGAATAAATCTCGTTTAGTCGCGAATATTACGACTTCATATTATTTTAGAGATGTCGAGATTTATTCTCTTTAAAAAATCGTAAATGGTATATCTTTTTTTTATGCCCCTTTTCTATCAATGTAGATTAACTTTAATCTTGCTTCAACTTACTCTTCATGTTTTTCAAATTCTCAGAACTAGAAAAAGATGAACAAATATATAAAATGAGGCTCGAAAGAATCTATCAGTGAAATATAAAAAAGCCCATCAGAGCCTACATCGGTTGTTCGGATGCACAGAAAACTCTTTATTTTCGTGTGAATGTAACAAAACGAATAAAATAAACGTTTCGACCCATCAATTCGGATCCTTGTCAATATAAAATATACATCGAAATTACATAAGTAACGCAAATTCCAAGATGATGATTCCCGACAATTTAGCTTGTTCTTCTTTATCCAAATGCCAAATAGAAAAAGATGAAGAGTTAGTTGAACCGAGATATATTAAAATTAAGCTACATTGATAGAAACGGGCATTCTTCTTAGTTCTGTTTCTCGTGACCGAGCGTGGTGACTTCTCTCATATGCCTGTGATGCGCACGCTGGTTGTACACAGTCATATGGGACCTACATTTTTTAACGTCGATTCCGAACGATGAAATTTTGTTAGAGCAGCGTTCTTGGCAAAGATACTCTCGGTGGGTTGCCGCTTCCTTCCGAAAAAAGATACGAGCGTATGAAAACATTTTTTAGTCTACCAGGAATCGAACCCGGGATTTCTAACATAGCAGACCAGTGCACTGTCTGCTTTGCCACACTCGCTCTCAGAAACGGGCATTAGACATATATAATTCATTTGCATTTAATTCAACATTAAACTTGAAAGTAGTTGAAAATATCCAAATTATTTAATATTACAATTTTAATATTAAAAATTTAATACTAAGTGGCTGCAGCAATTTGTCTTTTTTACTTTCGAGCAATATGTCATTGTATGACACGTGCTCGTTCTATAGCAATGATCGATTTGATTCGCTGAGTTACATCGAAGATCATTTAACATGTCCGTCGATGTCGCGCGCGGATTCACGCACTCGATCATCCACGGAATATCCGATGCGGAAGTTCCGGCTGACATCGCCGACGACGGGTAGGCGAATTGGAGAGGCTGACCATGATGATGACGCGATCTATACTAAATGAAGGTTTCAGGGACCCGGGCTGTTTCGACGAATCAGCCGCGCGCAGCCTTACTCGGGCGAGTTACATTGACTTACTTTCTCGAAGTGGCACAAGTGCCACGTGTGATCGATCGCCCTATCTCGCGCATACTTCGAACCGACGCGCGCGTTACCAATACCCAGCATAGCTCGAGAGCTTAATAAAGACTAATTGACGCGCAGGATTAAAGATAAAGTGCTGTTGTAATTAATGGAACAGTGTTTCGACAAACGGAACGTAGATCTGAAGTAGGTCTCAAGAGATCGATAGGATTACAAACAAATGACGAAATGATAGTGTATATTGTCGTCTAAGAATCACTCTTAATTGGGATGGATAATTCAGGCGCACACACACACACATACATACACACAGAAGATATTACTTTAGAATATTTATTACCTAGAAAAATATGGAAAACTGGAAATTTTCAGGGGATTTTTTTTATCTTTGAAAATTAGAGAGAGAAAGATTTTATCGATATTCCGGGAATTTTCGAAATTTTACTTATTTCTCTCCCTTTCTGAAAATATCTTTTTTTTTTATAATATGAAATGTTGACAATTTTGATTAAAAATAAGTGTCATACACTTCCGCGTATATTCACGTACACTCTTCATTCTCGCAAATTTTTATTTAAAAAATCAGGTGACATTACAAAACAATTCTCAGCAGAAAAGAGTTGCTCGCTATATTGCAGTGAATCTTTTTTATATTGTCCTACATACAGGTTTCATGACTCCAATTGTAGAAAATAATAGATATAGCCTCGCGAAATTCCTTCTGTCTTATACTAATTTACAATATAAAGTTTGTTTGCATTACTTGCACTCTAATTTATTTCATAGTTGCATTTTTTTTAAATTGTCTAATTTTACCTGGAATTTTGAATAAAAATACTGTAAGTACTTTGAAATATTGAGTTTGAATGTCGTCAGAAAAATTCTATTAGGTCAAATTTTTAAGATAGCATGTCAGTTTTAAGATAAATATTTCTTCCGAGTAAGTTGAATACAAGTGATCAGTAAGGTTTCCACCAGAATTTCATGATAATTGAGAAATGTTATCACATTATCAAAAGTAACAGGACAAAAAACATGTTAAACTGCTGTTGGATTCCAATGCGTGAAACCGTTCCAAAATCATAAAACACAAAAACTTTGAACGCTCAATACTTCTGATTTATTTCTTAATTTTGATAAAACTTCACTGTATATTGTAAAAAATATCTTTTCTTATATCTCAAAAACCAGACTTGAGAAAAATATTTCAATGGCAAATTCGGGCTTAGCGTCAAAAATTATTCTAGAAACAGTCTTTATATTATGCACAAAACCTTGTAAATTAGTATTATTATTGTATTACTTATAAAAAGCACACGGCGTACAGAAAAAAAAAAAGCAGTAAACGAATCGAAAATTATTCTAGAAACAGTCTTTATATTATGCACAAAACCTTGTTAATTAGTATTATTATTGTATTACCTATAAAAAGCACATGGCGTACAGAAAAAAAATAAGCAGTAAACGAACCGGTCCATCGTAGTAGAGAAAATAATACAATAACGTAAGCAGAAGTAAATCCAAAATGTTGATTTGCTTATTGCTTAAGGTCTTTGTATGCCATAGCCTTAATTTATTTGACATCTCAGTCACTTGGTAAAATAACGCGCGCATTCAGGATTTTTATTACTTTTATATTTACACGCTTATTGCGCAAGGAACGGACTTGAATGCAATGGCTCAAATCGCTATTGGCGTCATCATGCCGTGCTCCATTTCGTGAATGCGAAATTACCACGAAAATTTAGATTCTGTCTCGACGGTTAGGTTTCGCGCGCAGTTTATTAAATCCGCTTCAAGTACGCGAGCAACCCAGATACCAGCGCGAACATTTGCCTCATTCACTGTGCATATGCACGCGGGTGTGGCTCTAATAGCAACAGAGGGTTCACCAAGAGACAATTGTTTCCAACTATCGTTAGAAATTTATCTCATTACTCGCGCCAGTCGTCTGTGGAATTGCACGTCTGCGAAATAATCCGGTCGCCATCTATCCTGCGCTCGAAGTTACAATCATTGTTTGCGGCGTATTAATCAAACGAATTTCGAAAGTAATTCTTTTTTAAACTGTTTTATTATTATTAACCGTTATTTATTTATTAGAATTAAATTAAACCAAATTATACCAATTTGAAGCAAGTAAATCGTCGAGTATTTCGTGTTATATGAATAATCTAATTTTTGCTAATATTTTAATGTTACCAATTATATGTAGTTGGCTGTATTTTTTTATTTATTTTTCGGGATGATCATTTTCTGCGAAAAATCGTAAGAGAAAAAAATTGAGAGAGAGCAGCGATATTCCAAGCATGATGCATTTGTCGATTGCATTGACGTTTTTATCGGGGTTCTCTCGTCGTCGTATCTATGCATACATGCGACTGTTTACATTGCAACGACACTAGTTGCGCACAGGCTATGCAAACGTTTATTTCCGATTATGCCTTGCACGAATATCAAGTGAGACTTTGAAAAGTTTCTCGAAAGCTGGAGGGACGCACGATGGCCAAGAAATAAAATGGCGGAATGTTATTCGCATTAACTCATTCGCATTAAGCATCTGTTTTGATTTATATAAATCCCAAACATATATATAGAGTATGTTCTATTTAATATTCGCTACGCTCGCGCATGCATCGTTTCATCCTTGTTTAATATTTGATGACAGGAATGAAATGATGTTTACGAACGTTAAATAGAACGCATTCATAGCCTTAGCCTTAGCCTTAGCCCGGGCGCGCATATTTAAATATTCGTGGACACATTTAAATTTCTGCGTTCTCCGTCTCTTTCAACGCAAAACCTGTTTTACATGATTAAGCGAAATGCGCACGTAGAACTTAATTGCTCCTAATAGTTATTTATGCATGAGATACTGTCAAAAACGAGATTATCAAAATTAGCCTAACACATTTCTATTTTGATACATTAATAGAATAACGCATATAATACAAATTTTCTTTTCATCTCATTTATATACACACATACACACATATATATATATATATATATTGTTTTAATGTGTATGCATATTAATATATACACTAATTATAACATATATATTTTTTAGCTCTAAGAATAAATCACAAATCAAATTGCTAATAAAAGCCGCAGTAATTATCAGTGCCGAAATTATATTAAATAATATATGTATATATATTTAATTATTATTTAAATTATACATATAATAATTTTTGTGTAATAGTAACAAATTAATTAATTATGTGCGTAATAGAAAAAGTAGCTATATATATGATACTTTAATTCATAAAAAATTGTGAGGTTATTATTAATGTGAAAGTAATTTATCTGAATATGACGTTTGAGAGCGATGTGAAATTACATTTGTCTCTTATTCATGTATTCGTTGTCACAGCCCAATAATTTATTCATTACATGCCGCAACTGGCAGACCTATCGAACATCTCTCGCATGAGACTAATTATTTGAACGATCCTTCGAGACACGAAAATTATGTTATGTAATGATACCAAAGATACGCCGCAATAATTTGACTAATAAAACGAACCATTTCGTTGTTGTTTGAACCATTTCATTATAGTCTGCGTATATTTGGGGGGCTATCAAAAGTTGTTTATTATTTATACAATCTATTGTAAATGTTAATTAACATTGTGCAATAACAACGTTCGT